CATTATTCCCTAAACAACACAATACAACAACTATTTTTACGGTATTTACATGGTATGAGGTATTATTAAGTAATCTGGGGATGATTTAAAGTATACGGGATGATGTACACAAATTTATGCAAATATTAAGCTAACTTTTTATTTTTATTTTTTTGAGACAAAGTCTCACCGGGTCTCCCAGGCTAGAGTGCAGTGGTGCAGTATCAGCTCACTGTAACCTCCATCTCCCAGGTTCAAGTGATTCTCGTGCCTCAGCATCCTGAGTAGCTGAGATTATAGGCACCCGCCACCACGCCCAGCTAAATTTTGTATGTTTAGTAAAGACGGGGTTTCACTATACTGGATAGGCTGGTCTCAAACTCCTGACCTCACCTCAAGTGATCTGCCTGCCTCTGCCTCCCAGAGTGCTAGGATTACAGGCGTGAGCCACTACGCCCAGCCATATTAAGCTATTTATATCAGGGACTTGAGCATACTTGGATTTTGATATCTACAGGAGGTCCTGGGGCCGGGGTGGGTGGGGGAGGGGAGGGAGAGGAGGGAGGGAGGGAGACGGGAGAGAAGAGGGGGAGAGAGAGAGGCAGGCAGAGAGAGAGCGGCAGGGAGAGAGACAGAGAGAGAGATGGGGAGGGGGAGAGAGGGAGTGTGTGTATAGATATATAAACATACATGTACACACCCATACATATACATACATATATATTTTTTTCTTGGTCTTACAAAAATAACTATGTCCCCTCTCCTAAACATTCCTCATCATATTCCCCAGGAAAGAAGAATCTTCCAGAAAAATCTATAATCCTTCTCATTTAGAATTATGGTTACTAGTGCACAGTACTCATATTTAATTAAGAAACCATCATTTTGCTTATCTCAGATCCTCATATACGTGTACAATTATGGAGAAGTTCATCTGTAAGAAAATAAAGGGGTGGGGAGGGAGGGGAATGTGGGGAGGGACGGAAGGGTGGGGAAGAATAACATGGGGAGAAATGCCAAATATAGTATGCACCTAAAGTAAAATAAATAAATTTATAAATAAATAAATAAAGGGAAACTGTCTACACATGGGCATGTAGAAAGAAATCATGGAGATGGATTCAGCCCTCAAAGCAAAAGCTCTATTTAATTTGAATTTTTACTTAAACCAAAAGCAGAACTTTTTAACTGTCACTAATCTTAACTGGTCAAGGAATGCTGTATCAGTCTCATAATGTGGCAAAAAACTGCCCTTAAATGATCAGGTCAGAAAGAGTAAGAGTCTCTATCCTGGTCCTCAGTAATATAGGGAGCTCCCAAATAAAATATTTGTATTAAAGAACAATTCAGCCAAATATACAGACAAGTCTCCAATCTACAAATGGCCTGTACAAACAAACTTCATGTTCGTTAAACATGAGATGCAAATACTAAACACAAATTTTGAGTTACAAACCACAATTCACATTCAAACTTTTAGAACAAGCAAAAGTTCTCTAAACAACATATGCTAACCCAGCCACTATTTGTTACTAAAGTCTAGCAACAAATCATGGAACTGGATTAGACCTGAAAGCAAAAGCTGTATCTAACGTGAGCATTATTTAATTTGTCACTAGACTTAGTCCAGCCACAGTCCCTGCCCTCATGGAGCTTAGTGTATGCCATCAACCCAATTCATCCACCCATTTTAGACCAACAATGTGATGTGACAGGATTCAGCAAATGGTCGAAACACTACTTGTTCTGGACTGATTTGCTTGTCTCCCAGAACACATGACTAACTGCATGGCCCTAACGAGATATAATAATCAAAGCCATGACTGCTTATCCATTTGAAAATAGGTATGAGAAATCATTTTGATTAAACTGGAAAGGCAAAAATAAACCTGTGAAAGCTAAAACTGTTCAACAGTAACAGTAAAACAGGTCATCATTAAAAATCAAAGAAATCACTAGTTCTATTATCAACCTTTTGGTGTATCTTTACATTCATTTGGAGAGTCATGGTGAAAGACAAGTGATACAGCACTTCTGTTTTTAATAATTACAGTTTAAACTATCTATAGGTTGATGAAAAAGTAATTGCAGATTTTGGTCCTTAAAAGGGACTTGAGGAACCTGCCCAAGATTACAGAAAAGTTTCTTTCTCCATAATGAGATAGTCAGGCAATTTCCTAGTTTTGTATCTTTGGTTCAATGGAAATATTTCAAAGTGGTATATGACCACTTGATGTGGAGTCTGGGTTTCTCTATAATAAATCCTTTTGCCAAATGCAGGGAGTTGCAGACTTGCTACTGGCAAGAGTAAAACAAACAGGTGAATAAGCCTGTCCTGATGTGGAAGCATTCTCCTACTGGAGTTCAGTCTTGATCACAAGTGTCAGTGCAGGAATCAGACTCCTAAGAGGGTTACAGTATCTCCTGACAAGACCTGCCAACCACAGCAATAATCAGCCATTACTTGATGACTGCCTTCTGATATATTTGGGTAAGCAGCTGAGCAAGCCAAGGGGAAGCTGGATGATTAAATCAGAAACAGGGGATTCTTAGTTAGACCAGTCTTCATCTGAGAAAAAAAAAATGTCAACAAATAATCACTTGGAAGTTGACCCACATATTTTCCCTGAAAAATATGCATTTTTCCCCCAGCAAAACTGTGTTAGGGGTAATGTTATTGAAGAATGAACTGACATGAATATGTGGAGATGTTTTTTAACACCATACTATACTAGACATCTGAAGGCCTGTGGCAATTTTTTTTTTTTGAGACAGGATCTCACTCTGTCACCTAGGCTGGAGTGCTATGGCACAATCATAGCTCATTGCAGCCTTTACCTCCCCAGCTCTAGTGAGCCCTCCCACCTAAGACTCCTGAGTAGCTAGGACTATATAGTAGGCAAGCACCACCATGCCCACTTTTTTTTTTTTTTTTTAAGAGATAGGGTCTCATTATGTTGCCCAGGTCTCAACTCCCAGACTCAAGCAATTCTCCAGCCTTAGTCTCCCAAGGTGCTAGGATTATAAGCATGAGCCACTTTGCCTAACCCCAGCAGAAGATTTAAATTCTCTTACTATAACTTCTTAAAAGATTATGAAAAGATCTGGCCGGGCGCGGTGGCTCAAGCCTGTAATCCCAGCACTTTGGGAGGCCGAGGCGGGTGGATCACGAGGTCAAGAGATCGAGACCATCCTGGTCAACATGGTGAAACCCCGTCTCTACTAAAAAAATACAAAAAATCAGCTGGGCATGGTGGCACGTGCCTGTAATCCCAGCTACTCAGGAGGCTGAGGCAGGAGAATTGCCTGAACCCAGGAGGCGGAGGTTGCGGTGAGCCGAGATCGAGCCATTGCACTCCAGCCTGGGTAACATGAGTGAAACTCCGTCTTAAAAAAAAAAAAAAAAAAAAAGATTATGAAAAGATCAAAATGTAGATAAATCAAGTTTTAAGATACTGTGTAATAAGTGAATTAGGCCATCCATTGTACCATTTCTTTCTCTGAATACTCAGGAATGGTTTGGCAGTGCAAGATCTCTGCAACATTAAACAATTCAATAAAAAGTAAACATATGGTTAAAAAAATACATATAAGTTAAAAAATAAAATTCACACAAAATTTCCTCATGCTATTTCCTCTTTGAGCACATTTTTAAAAAAGAATTCTGAAGTCACAGCCCAACTTAACAAGAAAGAATGTTATGAATCAATTATTCCATTTCCATCGTTAACAACACAGGAGGAAGACTGTAAGAAAATGCTTAAGTATATTTCATCTGGGGGGATGCAGAGCAGCAAAACACATAAAACATATTTTCTATTTCTACTTGAAATAGTTCAATAAACTTAGGAGGCTCTAAAAACAGTGAAATATTAGTATAAAGCTCCATTTATCCAAATGCAATGCTTAAAAAGAAGTATTTCTAAGTAAATTTTGGAGTGTGAAAACCACACATACGTAAGATTCTGTGGTACTAACCAACTCTCTCTGAAGTTATTGCCAGAAGAGCACAGACTTATCTACAGCCAGATATATGGAGGATGAAATCCTAGAAGTTTCAAAATCTGTGAATAGAAATGCTAACAACAGTTTTAACCCCTGTATTTCTTATTTTCTTCACCTGTGAAACGTAGAGCTCATACCACACCGGAGAAGATTAATGTTAGGATCAAATCAAATAAGTATGTAAAAGAAAACCTTTTTAAAGACAGGAAAATAAATCATTATTGATCAAAATTCAAATGACAATGGAGAAAAGCTACTACATTCTAAAATATTACCAAAACTGACTGAGGTACAAGGCCAATCCCATGATATTTGCAAGCCACTCATGAATTCAATCCTCACCTAACTATGATATTGAAGCCTCACCTGACAGTCTCCAACCTGCTGCTACCATGCCCCTACCCAATAAGCAAACATAAATTTTAGTTCATGACCCTAAGATACGAAAATAGGACCAAAAGAGATCAGAAAACAGATAGGCCCTGGAAATCATGTATTTTGTGATATACTAATTAAGGAGCAGCACAGTCTCTAGTGACAACTACAGACAATCATAGCTACAAATAGTACAGGAGAGGGATGGAAAGAAGAAAGGTTTCAGCAACAGAAAATACTGAAGGCCAAGTCCAAATTGCCAAACCCAGAATACTGAAATAAAATTTAAGCAAAAGTGTGCCAGGATCATCTGTCTTCAATAGAAAGAACTCATGAGATGGATACAATCTAAACATACACCTCTTCTGTTCAGCTAAAAAGTACTTGTATATACATTAACATACTTGATCCTTAAAACAATCCTTCTGTAAAGCAAGTAATGGAACTGAAAAAAAGTGGGGTTGTCTTATTCAAGGTAACAAAGCCAACAAGTGGTGGAACCAAAATGCTAACTTGGGCTTTCTGGTTCCAAAGTCAAAGTTCTTTGCATCACAACATGCTGCTTCTTGTTGAAGTCAAGGCTAAACCATACATGTATTAGAAATGCAGCCGACCTGCTCCAATAGACACAGGAATTTTTAAAGTAATAATACATGCATAGAAGTATAACATGCACAACGTTGGGCCTGGCAGCAAATCTTCTAGCTTCTAGTATAAAGAAATGGCAGTGCAGTTACTGGTAAAATCAGAAAAGGTGTTTGCAGCAGAGCACTATAAACACAAAAGAGCCAATTAAGCATTAATAGCTCCTCAAGGAGTAAACACATTGGTCTTCAAAACACTGCACCAAAAATTGTTTTTAAAAACAGCCTGACCTTTTATAGCTTCTCTTCACCTTGTTTAACAAAACAGGTTTCACTCATACTCAGGAAATATTAAATACACAGTGTCAGAGAAATTAACAATACATGTATTCATGTTCAAGTCAGGAAAATATAACAGAATGTGTTTTATAGTCAATGCTCCATTTTTCAGTCATCTAGGTAGAAACAGTCTTTTGTTATATATTTACAAAATAAATGTTTTACGGAAAAAACTACTCTCCACTGCCAGAAGCCATCCTCTTTGAAAAGACATCCTCTTTGAAAGAGCATAAAGCCTCAAAAAGGATCTCAAAGCTCTATTACTCCACAGTCTACTCAAATGCTGTTTTTCAATCTTATTCTAACCTTTTGGCACTTCAAGCATAACCTTTCTCACAACCAATGTTGGCATTCTGGTGAAAAGTCTTGAAGGTCCTCAGTAACTGCTACAAACCACCTATAATCTACCATCGTCTCCCCAGGAAAAGTGTCCCAAAAAGTTCTTCCAGCACAAAGTTGCCAGTGTCTGTCAGTGAAGACAACCCTGATATTCCGGTTGTGCCAGACTGAACCAGCAATTGGTGCCCCAGCAAAGAAAGCCATAGACTGATTGGACGCCTAGGGTCAAACTTGGCTCAACAGAGGCAACTACACAGGAATGTTAACAAACTATTTAAACAGATCGTCTCTCAAACACTGTGGCACAGAGAAGCAGGTCACTAGAGTTTACACAGTTTTCCAAGTGATTTTAAGCATCAAGATTACTTTACCTCCTAGTCTAGGAAGGAAGAGGACCCAGGGTGAATGCACAATTAATAAGCAGACACTATCCTATACTATTGTACACTCAGAGCCCCATTCCTGAAGGTAACATCTCTTCCTCATAACCTAAAAGGTCTATCTAATGCAACTGACCAACTTCTCTAGACATACCAACAAGTTCACTCATCACAGCCTAACACACACTGGACCTGCTCATCTGGCATGCAAGCCATCACATAAACCATTATACTCCTATGGAGGCAGGGGCTGGTAAAGTTGAGATTAGACCATTTTAGGCTATTACCTACAATTTTCTCTTACTGTAACAATCCATAATAATCCTGAGCTGCTTGACAAGTCACCTCAAGAAGACTTCTGCAACCGATGAAAATGAAACTCCTTTACTCTATTAACCCTCCATATATTTAGTTTGTTCCATAAATCACCCATTATTTCAATGAATTTTTGAGATTCAATCCAATTTATAAATCCAAAAAACACTGCCCCATGCTAAACAGTATTTGAAATTTGCTGGGCCTCTGATTTTTTCTTTAAAAATACAGACTTTTATTCCCACACAGTTTGCCTGGTATGTTGACTCACCATTGCTTCCATAGTACCATGTTTTTCAGACTCACTTGTATTCACTTCATTTGTCTCCCCAATGCAAGGTATTTATCATGTTATATGTTTCTGCAGAGCCTAGAACAGTGTCTTATTCTTCACAAATAAACAACTGTGTTGACAAATATATTTATCCTAATAAGATTATTATGAAGGATATCTGAAGGTGGGATATTTTTATGATTCCATTATTCTGGATTTTCTAATATATTTGCACAAACACGTAAAAAGGACAGTTATACATGGTGAGATCCCATCTCTACAAAAAGTAAAAAAGCCAGACATGGTGGCGTTTGCCAGTGGACAGGTATACATGGTGAAACCTCATCCCTACAAAAAGTAAAAAAGCCAGACATGGTGGCGTTTGGGAAGGCTGAGGTGGGAGGCTGAGCTCAAGAGATCAGGGGTACAGTGAGCTTTGATTATGGCACCGCATTCCAGCCTGGGCAACAGAGTAAGATCCTGTCTCCCAAAAAAAAAAAACACACACACACACACACACACACACACACACACACACAGATTTGTCAAGAGTTAAACAATAAATAATATTAATCATCTAGATTTTGTGATGTTTATGTGGGCTGTCAGCTTTTCTAACAAATAATTTGTTGTGACATCTTTCTTCATTTGAAATAAACTTTCTTAAAAAAAAAAAACAGCTATAACCATGCATTTTGTTTTAGGTACAGTATTTGCTGTTAATTAGCATTATTAAATATGTCCCCACAAAATTATTGGATATAAAAAATAAGAAACATGTATTTTATTATTTATGAAGTAAAAAGGTACTAGGCACAATATCAAGAGAACAAAATCAAACTGTGCCTTGAGGAGTTTAGAAGTTAAAAGACTAAAGTAAATACAAACAGTACATAGGTGGAGTGGAGGGTACCCCTGACTAAATGGAAAGGGAAATTAGGGAAGGTGGAAGTTGGCAGGTAGTATCTGCTTCACTTAGCAGGTGGAATTCTGAGTGTAATTTGAAGCAGTCACAAAAAGCTATACATGCTGAATACTGAAAGAAACACATACCTAGCACAACTAGAAGTGGAATATCAGGTCAGCAGAAAAGAGAATAACATGGATCCAAGAAGAATGTTTCTATATGAAGCCAGGTAAGTGAGCCTGACAGGAAATAAGATTAGAGAAGAAAACAGAACCAGTCAGAAACAGTGGCTCATGCCTGTAATCCCAGTATTTGGGGAGACCGAGGGGGGCAGATCACATTGAGCTCAGGAATTTGAGACCAGCCGGGCGACATGGTGAAACCCGGTCTCTACCAAAAGTATAAAAATTAGCCAGGCCTGGTGGCTCGTGCCTGTTGTCCCAGCTACTCAGAAGGCACAGGCTGCAGGATCACTTGAGAACCACTGCATGCCAGCTTGGGCGACAGACTAAGACCCTGTCTCAAAAAAAAAAAGGTGGGGGGGGAAGAACAAGAAGAAGAAAACAGAATCACCACCAAGGTTTTGTCAGGAAATAAGTCTAAAAGCAAGAGCAAGAAAATAATGGAAGTTTAGAGATCACCCGTGTGCAATGTCAGCATTCAAGAAAGGCATAATGCACTATTATGCCTGAATCATTAACACTGTCATTATTTTACAAAGTCTCTATGCAGAAAGAAAATTCTTAGGCCGGGTGCGGTGGCTCACGCCTGTAATCCCAGCACTTTGGGAGGCTGAGGCGGGTGGATGACGAGATCAAGAGATTGAGACCATCCTGGTCAACACGGTGAAACCCCGTCTCTACTAAAACTACAAAAAATTAGCTGGGCATGGTGGCGCGTGTCTGTAGTCCCAGCTACTCAGGAGGCTGAGGCAGGAGAATTGCCTGAACCCAGGAGGCGGAGGTTGCGGTGAGCCGAGATGGCGCCATTGCACTCCAGCCTGGGTAACAGGAGCGAAACTCCGTCTCAAAAAAAAAAAAAAAAAGAAAATTCTTCCTAGTTAATCCTTAAAGACTGAGGCACCAACAAAGTACACTGTGTATGTGCAAAGTACATGAAGGTCTACACATGCTCTTATTTTTCAAAACAGAACCCAGATTTCACAATAGTTAAATCAATGCAGTCCTCCCACCTGTCCCCCAAACAAAAAAAAAAAATTTCAGCATATTGATTCAAGTGTCCCTGGTAAGAAAAAATCTCTAATATCAAAACTAAATTCCCTTCTTCTTTCATTAGGTTCAAACCTCTGTCAAAAAATATGGGGGTCTGGGAATTGGGGGGAACACCTGAATAAAATCATGGACACAAATTTCAATTGCTGCCAGGAGCAGTGGCTCACATTTATAATCCCAACTCTTTGGGAGGCCAAGGCTGATGGATCACCTGAGGTCAGCAGTTCAAGACCAGCCTGGCCAACATGGTGAAAGCCCATCTCTACCAAAAAAAAAAAAAAAAAAAGTTAGGCATGGTGGCACACACCTGTAGTCTGGGAGGTCGAGGTTGTAGTGAGCCAAGGTGACACCTGTACTCCAGCCTGGGCAACAGAGAAAGACTCTGTCTCAAAAAAAAAAAAAAAATTCAATTGCCACAAAATTCAAAGTGACTCCAAAAGCAGGCATAAACTTGCTTTTTGTAAAGCAAAGATTTGTTATTATCAGAGGAGAATCACCCAGAGATTAAAAAGAAGAGGTAATTAGTAAGTACCCATATCATAATCCAGCAAGATCCCAAATGTCTCACCAAAAAAAAAAAAAAAAACTATTATTTTCTCTTGTAACCTTTCAACTGATAATTTTGCTTTCTAGACTGTACTCAGTAATTACTAACTTATTAGCTTTAGCTTTTTTAGACCAAAGACATATGTAACAGCAGAGCTTCTGATAAGCATGAAACAACCATAATTGTGTAATTCAATTTCAGGTCAGCCTACTTCTTACTCAAAAAAAAAAAAAAAAAAAAAAAAAAAAGAAAAAAGGGGCATTTTAGCCTATGCAGTCTCATTAATAAAATTAGTAGTTAAAAGACAGTTCTAGAATCAAATACAGCTACTATAATCATGGTTGCCCAATTTCAGACAAGGTACTTGAGTCTGTTTCCTCATCTACAAAATAAAGATATTACTAATACCTGTCTCATAGAGCTCTTAAGGAAGAAAGGAAATAATAAATACACATAAAACTCTTAGAACAGTGCCTCACAAACAGAAAATGCTCGATTAATGTTTTAATCATTAGTGACATTTCTCTAGGCTTTAAAATATATTATAATAACCTAGGGACCTGGATCCATTACCACCTCCAACAATCTCTAAAGAGTAAATCTCTTGAGCTATAAAGTTCTGTAACTTTGTCTTCAAATGTCCAAAATATATGAAATTAAACGAATAACACGCTTTTCACCATGTATAACTGTCCTTTTCATTCCTGAAAATGTTTTATCTGTTGTTTTCCTTCTACCTTGCAGACTTAAAGTGGGTTAGTCCACTAAAAAGAAAGGCAAAAGCTTTATTTTTATGTGTTTGAGGTTTCCGTCCTAAAAATACATTCTTCTTATAATCAGAAAATACAATAGACATTATAAGATTAGTGTTTTCCCCCAAAATAGTTTATTTTGGCAGTCAATAATTCTTATACATCTACTTATTTATTCTGGCACCTAATAAAATAGTTTAGATTCTTAGGGATTTTAGCATTTTCTTCCTACTCCTGTACCTATTACTCTGCTCATGAGCAAAAGCTTGCAAACAAAATGCATTTAACTAAACCATTATTATGTTTTACACGCCAGCAGTTCCCTTTTAGAATATAATCTATTTGTAATTAAATTGTTTGGAACTCAGAATTCATTTTCCTTTAAAAACAATGTTATAAGTATGATTAAAGTTCCTAAGTTAACCCCCCCAAAAATATTTACCCATAGTGTTACTGAACTCTAGTAATCTTGAGTTATTAGCCCAGATTCTGAAATCCAGGGTCATGCCACAGAAGAACAAGAATTGATCTTTTTTTTTTTTTTTTTTTTTTTTTTTTTTGAGGCTCAGAATGGCTGTTGGCAAAATTTTAAAGTAGACAGTTTGTCTTGGTATCTTTCAACTACCCTCTAAGTTTGTGCCCCTGGGCTCTCATGTTGCCCCTCAGGCCCACCTATGGCACCCCATCCAAGCCTGATTTTCCATGATACAATCTTAGCCAATTTTCTTATCTCGCCCATCTTACCAGTGTCACTGATCCCATTTATATATTAGAGCCAGATGAATGAATCAACTCACACT